AGATGATTAACATAGAGTAGTTATTTAAGGTTATGATTCTATTGTAATATTTATGGTTATTGTTATCCACTGTGTAAAATAGTATAAGCTAAAGGTCATATCATATATTCAAATTTGTGATCTACTATTCATAGGAAGAAATTCGTCTGATTGACTAGTGTAAATCAATTGCCCGGTGTTACGACAAGGGAGAGTCTTTCCTATTACACTGCCAATTTAACCGTTGGTCGCAAGTATTAGATATTTATAATAATGAACAAGTAACTATTGTGCAGAAGGTATTTTCTTAGTTATTTGATTTTAGCAAAAAGAGAATATCTTTTTTATTTACCAAGAATAACCCTCTATTTATATTGTCTATTAGACTCTAATTAGTTATTATGCAAAATGTAAAGTATGAGCTAAACCTACAAAGTGGCGTAATGATTGGCAAAGTATTTATTTATAATACAATTTTCGCTTCGACTCATCAACCCGTCAATTCTTCATTTGTTATCGACCTGTTGATTTTTTTGAAAATCGTAAATAAATTATTGTCAACGTATGGTAAAAAGCGAAATTCATATAAATATAAGCCGGCACTTTAATTTGAATCAAAAATCTTGAAATTGTTAAAAATGTGTCAGAGACGGGTGTTCCTAGTCCATGCCCCATGTAATCACAAGGCCGAGTTACACGAAATGGTGAAATTTTATTTTTGTTTTAAACTTAGATTTCAGTCGGTAGCTTTTCCGCTTGTATATGCTGTAAGTGGGAATGGAATTAAGTGGATTCGGAATTTCAAGTTAAATTAGGGTTAGGGTAAGGGTGTATATATCTGTATATGATAAAATCAACCCCAAAATGCTGGGTTTATATAAAATTCCGTTTCCACTTAATTCCGTTTCCACTTACAACTTATACACCCTTACCCTAACCCTAATTTAACCTGGAACTTCCGAATCCACTTATTTCCATTCCCACTTACAACAATTATATAGTAAAATCACTTAAGGAAACTTTTTTAAAATTTCCTGATGTTACGTTACACCTGATTCTTGGAATCCGATTTGTGAATCAGGGATCTGTGCCGCAATGATCGACATAACCTGGCACAGAAAGTAGGGGTGCGATCGTTTTTTCTTGTTTGATCAACAACAATGGGCTCTATATGATTATCTCTTCTAATTAGTTTTAGCTTAGCTTTAGACCTAAAAGTTTACAAATTTACTGTGCACAAATAATTTTCTTAAATTACATACAATTAGTTTTATGATAAATATGTAAATCCCGGGTCTATTCTAGGAATGTCTTTTCTAGTTTCATACTCTAGCATAAAGATAAATGGGCTGCTGTCAATAGAATCAAGCAAATCTACATTTGAAAAAAAATTAATAACTTAAATTTCACAGCTCATATCTCGATGAATTTTAAAAGTATCTTAAAAGTATCTTGATTATTTAATATTCAAAAGATTGTAAGCTTTCTTTTGAATATTAAATCATCAAGATACCTTTAAAATTCATCGAGATATGAGCTGCGAAATTTAAAGTATTAATTTTTTTTCAAATGTAGATTTGCTTCAGCCCAAATATTCTATTAGTATTTCCATTTTGGCCGATTTTTATCAAAATCAATTTGTATTATTTCGGAAAGGAATGAAGGTTTTGAAAGTCTATTATTAATATGTATTAATTTTCAAATGTTAAAATGGATAACGGATTAGTACACAGCCATTACAGTTACAAGTCATTCTTATATTTGGTAAATTACCGATAGGTTTAAATTCAATATAATTTTATAATTTAACTGATTTAAAAGTTAATGAACTTAAAATTATCTGAATAAGCAAAATGCTTTTTCAAGAAAGCCTTAGAAATTTAAGACTCTGCTACATGAAAATTCAGTCTATTAATTTAGATTAACAAAAAAATAAAATAAAATAAAAAATCCGATCCCCGATCGAAATTTCGAATGTCATTTAATGCAAACGAAAAATCACCTTTGTGTAGCCTTAGTAATTTGAATTTTTAAACCTTTGAGCGAAGTATTTCTGACCGAATTTGATAAAAATTTTTATTTTAATTATACAATGTGGAGAAATAATATTAAGAAAAATTCATCTAATTTGGTTAAAGATTAATCATAATCTACATCCGCGACCACAACATTTCAATGTTAATAATTTATTTGGGCCAATATAATTCATTCAGCATCTGAATTATATCAGCAAATTGTAACTAAGAAAATAGAAGGCTACAACCTGATAATCGAAATTGGACATGCTCTTGTCCTTATTTTTTTTAAAAACAGATTTTTATTGTGTAAACACCTTGTTAACTCTCTTTGGAGGATGGATACATTGTTTTTCCGAAGGTTAGTCATTATACAGTACATGTTTTTAAATTTTCTAAATCTAATATCACTTTGATTTAAATACAACAAAATTTTTCAATATCCTTTTATTATAGAAGCTAAAGAAACTTTATGGGAAAATATTCGATCATGCCTAATTAATCGCACGCAAGTCAATTTAACGATCAATTTGAAATTAAATATAAATAATGAAGAATCAAGTACTGAAGATGATGAATCTGAATCTGAAATTTTAAAGTACAGAAAACTCTCCATGAGGTATAAAAGTTCTTTATTACTATATTTCTGTGTTTAAATAATTCTATTTTACAGTATTAATTTTATGTTTTGAGTGCTCGATTGTCTTGAGAAATCGAATAACCTTCCAAACAAAAAAAAACGCTTCGAAGTATTAAATCAAACTTTACACTACTTCAAAAATGGTAGATTCCAACAAAATTGGAGTGGACGCAACAAAAATACCTTTTACTGGTAGCATTAAATTCAAATTTAATGCTTTATACATGTATTAAATAAAATTTGAATTTGGATGTAAACAGTAATAAATTCTAATAAGTTGAATAAATAAATATAATGTTTAAATTAAAAAAAAAACTTGTTGACTCACGATGATCCGAATTTTTGACCATCCAAAGTTTTATACGAATTTATATAAAACTTCCGAAATTTTGATCATCCGAAGTTCTATACAAATTTATATAAAACTTCGGATGATCCGAACTTTCGATTATCCGAATTTTTTCTAATTTATAGTGTGTGACATAAATAATCTCGAGGGATTTTACTTTTTACTTATTTGCGCGAGTTAAACACAAACCAAAAAAGGAAATCGAATTTTGTAAATAAACTAAGTGCGTAAAGATAGAAGTTTAGGGTTAGAGCGTTAACATTATAGGCTATAGCAATAGCAATAGATTGTTGCCCACTATGTGCAAAATTTCGTTTCCAACATTTTTAATTAGTGCTAAGGTCGATTTAAACACTAATTTTGGAGTATTTTCGCTTTTTCTTCTTTCGCGCGCGTTCGGAATTCAAGTCGGGCTGATCAGGAATAGTCAAAATTTGTGCTCTCCGATTGGCCATTTCCTTTTTAGGGGTTTGTATTACTCGCGTGCAAACAAATTACTAATACAGTAATAAAATTTTTACAGTCACGTGTTGATCGACAAAATTTAGCCAATGACGAATCATGTGTTCGTGTAACGTAACACGATCAGGAAAATTCAAAACAAACGTTCGCTTTGAAACCTTAATATAGGCGATGACCAAACCCTAACGATTTCAAAATGTTTGTCGGTTGTCACGTTACTGAAATTTTGTTGGCGCACCTGATCTTTAAAAAAACATTATGACAATTCAATAACAAAAAATTTATTATGATTACCTGTATTAAAAAAAATAAATTATTTGTTATCCATTATGTCTCGTAAAAGACCACCTTTTAAAGAAATCCGGTCAAACTTCGCAAATTGAAAAACAAGACCGAAAGGCACCTTATCAAAAGTGTAAAGGATTCTATTAATTTAATTGGTCGATTAAAAGAGCGCCGATTAAAATGTAATATGTTTCCAAAAGCAAATATTGGTATAATGGAACTTGGCTGGTACAAAATCAACCAACCAAAAACAAAAATTTCGATTCCAGACTCAGCAATCGATGTTTTAAAATGTTTTCGTGCTACAATTAAAAAACGTAAAAAACATTTTTAAACTGTTTTTTTACCATCCTTATGTGATCTTGTGATTCTGTTATTCTTATACGCAGATTGAAATTTAAAAGACGATTACGTTCCTGATTTTGGTGGCAATCTAGGTGCATTATCTTGGATTTTCCTTATATAAATTCTGAATATGCTGTATTTAAATTTTTTTTATTATAGATAAATTTATCAATTCTATGACTAAATCAATTAGCTGCTATTAGCCGATTTTAGCTTATTATAACCGATTGTACTGGATTAACTGATTAAGCATTTTACTAAACGGCTTAACCAAAGTTTGTCTTGTTCGGTTCGCTTACTCGATTATTGCCCAATTGGTTCAAAACACTATTCATTTGGTAAAATCTTATATATCTGGATATTCGGATATTCTGTGAATATCTGGAAATATTATTTACCAGTTCATACTCTACGGGTTTTAATAAACCCTCATGTTTTTTTTGAGAAAAGTTGAATCATTATTAATTATACAGCTCTATACTACAAAATTTTTACCTCACTTCATTGGCCCTGTCTCATGAAGACGTGGGTCGACTTTCAGTCGCCACCCGTCTGACTAATAGGCCAGGGTCAGATATAACATTATTTAAAAAAATAACATATGTATAAAAGCTGAAAGTTAATAAATATATATGCCTAAGTTGTGCTTAGGAAACCTTTTATAAGTGTATAGTCGTAGATTATATTTTAGCAAAAAAGAACATACTGTACTTTTCACAATAAAATAGTTTATTCTTAAAGAAACTTTTCAAGAAAAAATGTAAATTTTGCAACAATACATCAAATTGATAATTATCAGAATATGATGTTATTTTAATTTACAGAAAAAAATACAATAATCTTTTAAAATAACATAAAAAAATATATATTGCTTTTAAAAAGAAGTCAATATATAATAAGTAAAATGAAGTTACAGAATAATAAATCAGGTTTTACAAGGATAAGAAGGATCACCACATGTATATATGCCCCAAAGTATGAGGTCACCATCGACTTTAAAACAAGCATCTTTCGATGCTCGACAATATCTATTATCACCTGGTTTTGTAAGAGGATATATATGTAAGCAATACTGTGCTTCAGTAGCCTCATCCCAGTGCCATAGATTACCATCACAATATTTATGTCCGGCATCTCTTATCACTGTTTCATTACAATCAGTTACATATACATGACAGGACGAGACAAAGCTTAGTTGAACTTCAAGTGTGTATGCTATGTGTTGTTAAATAGACAAAGCAATTAGAACAAAAACCATCAATGTTTGCTATGCATATTTAGGTATTTTACCTTGAGTTATGTGAACAATCATGAAGAAGATAATAATAATACGAGTGAGAATAGAAAGTTGCATGGTGATCGCAAAACAATAATATTGAAAGAATAAAAATTATTTGTGTTTTCAGTACCAAGTAACAGAAAAAACCTTGATGTATTTATATATTTCGCTATTTTGAAATCGTGACTAGGATTTAAAATTCAAATTGGTTTTAAGTTCTTAAAAAGAATATTTTTTTAAGTTAGTGTTCTCAAAAAAATTTTAATATTCTCTATATAGAAAAATTAAATTATTTTTAAGTTAATGCTCTCAAAAAATTTTTAATGTTCTCCATATAGAAAAATTAAATTATTTTTAAGTTAATGCTCTCAAAAAATTTTTAATGTTCTCCATATAGAAAAATTAAACTTCTTGAATATACAGTACAGTCAAACCCCTCTATAGTCACCTCCTCTATAGTCACAAAATTAATATTACAAATTTATTGTTACCAATTATTTATAACTATATATATAGAAAATACCTCTATATTAGTCACACCTATTTATAATCACAGTCTTTTGTATTCCAACGGTGTGACTATAAAGGAGTTTGACTGTACTCGAATAGAGAAATAATAATTTATATTCTTAAAATTGTGTACGTATGTAATACGCCAATCTACGATTTAAATTATTAATTAACATGTTATTATACATAGAATTTATACGTACCGATTGGGAATGTCAAATTTAATTACCGTATTCTACCGTAAATAAGCACCATCCCCTCTACCCAAACATGGGTGTCTAAATTACTCCTCTTAATAAAAAATTATTTCGACATTTAGTCTGTCGAAATTAATTTAATTAGTGGCGAAATTAATTTCATAGTTGTCGAAACTCTTAGTGAAATTATTTGAATTCATTATGACAAAATACATTAGGTAGTATAGCTACTTTGTGGAATTTATATTAAAAACTAGCAATATCGAAATGTTACCTTTTTAAAAACTAATTTAGACACCCATGTATACCTCTACCCCATTTTTTTAAATGTCAGGTTAACGGGAATAACTTGACTAAAGATCTTCTTACGAGGGATGGTAAAAAAGCATTTTCACCGGTTTAAAACGTGATATTTATAATCTTTATATGCTGAGTTTTAAATTTGAATATATTCTGACCACAGCATCACATGTTTTAAAACGGTGAAAAATGTTTTTTTACCATCCCTACTTCTTACGATTTTCGCTAATCTGACATTTAAAAAAAAAATGTGGTAGAGGGGATGGTGCTTATTTACGGTAGAATACAGTACACTGATTTTGATTACGTAGAGAAAATATATAAATAAAATTAAAATTTAACTCGTATCTCTTTCGTCCAATATGACTTCAAATAAATTCGCTAGTTTTTTCATTTCTTTCACCTCAAACCTTTGATATAACAGCTAATGATCATATGAATAATCGAAAATGAAAAACATATATTATATAATCGGTTTATAAAATCCTACAAGTTCACCTAAAAATCTGAAGTTCAAATATTGGATTCTTCATACGTTTACGGTAATTAAAAGTTGAAAAATATTGATGAGCTAAAAGTAAAACTGAAGACATAATCATGATACGCAAATTTGCTCTATTACTCCTTGAAGAAGTATTCCCTTTAAATCGTATTTGGTACTATTCAATTATAGATTTTAACATTTTTGAAAAATATCCCGGTACTAATCAAGTAGCCGAATCAATGATCCTGTTGTGTAATCAACTAATATTATTAATATTCCCTTCAATATACCCTCCTCATATAGTACCCACTAGAGACTAAACTCGAGTTAATTCGAGATTCGCTAATTAACTCAAGAGTATTCGAATCATTTGAATTATATTTATATGTTCGAGTTATTTTTTCGAGTTTTATTTAGGGATGGATCAGTCCGGTCCAGTCCGTCCGGTCCATTATCTTCTTTTAGTCCGGTCCCGGTCCATAAACCGGTCCTTCGATCTACAAAATTTGAACTATGTCACGTGATTAAAAACCAATAAGATCGTTCTATTTATATCAATCGACAATCAAATCTTAAAAAAAAAAAATCTTCGCTTGTACTATGATTACTATACTTCGTGATTACTCTTATTTATTGTGTTTACAAAATACATTGTATTTTATTTTTTAGTGCTTTTCTGAGCTACATATTCAAACATCATTTTGTATATACTGTATTGTAATAATAGAATTTTTTAATAAAAAACTTTTCGCATTCGCATACTTGTTTTATTTTTTGAAAATGAATCTTAAATGTTAATTGTCTCAAGGCAAAAGCAAATCAACAAAATGATAATGCATAATACAACTAATATTTCTTTTTTTTTGAGTTTATTTTAACAGATCTCATTACAGATCCAGCTTTTTAAACAAAGGAGTGATCTTGCTGTCTCTTCATCTAACCTATTCCTTTCTTCCGTAATGGTTTTTCCAGCAATTGAGAAAGTCTGCTCTGAGGCAACGCTTGTTGCTTGAATTGATAGATAGTTACAGGCGATGGTGCTTAATATTGGAAATTTGGGATGCTGCGTTTGTCACCAACATAAAGGATAGACATGACTAAGCAAAGATATTTCAAGATATTTTTGATTTCCTCATGGATGCAATTCATTGAATATTGATTATAAGTAAAAGGAAAAGATGTATTAACAGAATATAAGTTACGAAAATAGTCTCTATCGTCGCTTGAGTAATTAGTAGAGATGGTTTGCTGTGTTTCAAGTAAATATTCATTTAATCCAGAAACCAAATTAATTACTTGATTTTTTTCATCCTCAGTTCTGAATGCAGACATTTTTACCCGTAGGTCAAGAAATGCTGAGATTCGAGAAGATTCATCAAGTATTGACCAGTAGCATTCTAATTTTTGGTACATTGCATCTGCCATATTAACTTTTGAGAAATTATAATCGTTTTTATATCGCGTTAAGTGTTCTTGGATGCTAAGAACAACAAATCAGACGTTACCATGTGTAGGACGGCTTGAGGCAGATAGAAAATGAGTAGCACATTCTATCGGTTCAAGAAGAATAAGTGTATCCTTTTTTTTAAAAAAAAAAATAATAATAATTAAAGACAAAAAAATTAATTAATTAAAGAAAAAAAAAAAAGTTATTTACATTAATGCTAACAAAATCTTCTATATCCAAATACTTTTTTTTAACTGTTTGGTCATCGGCTGCAAGCAAATTTAACGCGGGTTCTAGTTTTTTTAACTTCCTAAGCATATAGTAGATGGAATTCCACCGGGTCTTGATATCAAGTTCAGGTGCAAGGTAAGTAATACATTTCATATTACAAAGCCCTTTTAGGGCATTGTTTGTTGGTTTCGACGACTTAATAAATGACATTAATGTTCTTACTTTCACAATTGATTTGTCTATATGTGCAAATCCCTGATGAACTACAAGATTTAGAACATGAGCTATGCATCTGTAATGTGAGAACTCAAGGTCATCAAATTCTTGTTTGAGTTCTTCCAGTATTAGCTCTCCACAGACAATCATTAACGATGCATTGTCAGTAGTGAGAGCTAAAGTTCTTTTTGCCAAATCAAATTCGCGGAGAACATCTATTATAGCATTAGCTATATTAGAGCCTGTATGTAATATTACAAATTTAAATTTAACAAAATTAATTAGTTAATTAGTTGACAACTAATCGATTAATCGATTAGTTGCAACTAGGAATGTAATTATACCGTATAATATATCTTCGTAATTATACGGTATATTGACTAAAATACAGTGTAGTCTAAAATACACAGGGTACTTTACAATTACTTCTTCTTTAGTACCTGGATATTTTATATTTCAAATGCAACTAATCCGCCCTTAGTACCCGAGATACTTTACATTCTAGGCCTCCGAAATTGTGTGGGGTATTATAAAAAGAGATCTTTAGACCACGCTGTACGTAATTGATTAAAGAAATATTAAATTGGTAACATTACCTGTATGTCGCACTTCTATTGGAATAATATATAGAAGGAAACTGTTTAGTTTTTATGAAGAATTAATATAATGAATTGTTAAACTTAGGAACGCGGCACCATTTGATGCAGTCCATATATCAGAAGTAAACGATACTTTTTCAGGGATTTGAGAGAGCACTAATTTTAACTGTTCTTTTTTAGCTTGAATAGGGTTATAATCTGGTCTTTTTCCGTATGACGATTATGGAACTGATAACGTGGATCAAATTTTTTTATCATATCCCGCTATTCTTTGTATTCAACAACGGTGAATGGTTGCAAATCACATAATATTCATTTTGTTACTACATCGTCACGTTCTTGTTGTTCTTTCGCTGAATAAGGAATATGATGGTCTTCATATATAGGTTTGTTGCTTGGTAGTTTTGGCGCTATAATATTATGCGATTCTAAATGTCACTTTAAGGTCGAAACACCAATTTTTTTTCCAAATTTCATTTTACATTTTTTGCACGTTGGTATATTAGATTTATTTCTTATAAAATGTTTCCATAAAGGTGAAGGTGCTTTTCTTTTTTTTTGAGATTTTGAGTTAGTACGTTCATCTGAACCAATGCTTATTGATGAATCACTTTCTTGGCTATTTTGATGTTCGATATTTTCATCCTCTTGGTCAACTACCGAATCTGAAAAATCAAAATTTGTATTCTCTTGGGACGAAGTAAGAAGCTCATTAATCGTACACATGGTAAAATGATTCTTCAAAAAAAAAACCAAACTGAATATTTTATTACATTTTATTATGAAAAAAATTAGATCATTTGGTGATCGCATTACATTTTTTATGCGAATGGTAAATAGGTAATTATAATTTTATTGTGATTAAAGGATTACATTATTATGTTTTAAGAAATGACTAAATTTTAATACATATTATTTTCAACACAAATATATGGTCTCTAACTTAATCAATACATGCTACTTTTGTTATAACGGAGCATCATTATACAGTGCAGACAACCTAGTCCCAACAAATGAAAATTTTTAGCGGCCAAATTTAAATTTTAATA